GAAGGTCAGCCTAGCAGGTTTGGCTGGCTGTGAACTGCAGTTATGCCTATACTGTAGCCTCTTCTTGCTAGGGTAAATCAGCCTGCTCTAAGCTCTCTTCCGCTCTGGGCACGCTGCTACCACTTCCAAAACCAGCCAGTTTAAAAGCAGTTTACATAACTCTACAGTATGTTCCTTTCCAGAGGTGCAGTACACATACCTTTAGAAACAGTGATGTCTACAAGGTAGAAACCTGTTCAACTCTCGAAATCCAGGCAGCCAATTTTATGGGAAGGTGGTTGTACCGAGTAGCATAGCAATTCTTGTCGTTCCTATGACACCAACGGACTTCTGCCCAGAGGCATGCAGCCTCCCTGACCAGTCCAGCTTGTATTTGAACAGTTACTACAATATATTCTTAAAAAATTTTGAGTATTTTCTAGTCATGAAAAATTAGTCAACACCACTCCAGAGCACTGAACTCCATTGGAACATTTCCTGTTTTTTTGACAACACTTTCTCCTGTGTAACTATCTGGCCCCCATCCTTGCACCTTGCACCTTGAAGGTGGAAGGAAGGCGACTACCCCATCAATCCTTCGGGTCTTTGCCATGGTGACAGAAAACCAAAGCCTCAGTAGAAACTGAGCAGAGCTGTGATGAGTAGAAGGGTGTAAAACCACTACACCCATTTGTTACAAGGGAATCAAACTGGTTTTTCATGAGGTGTCATTACAAAGCACTGCCAAAATGCCAGACCTCACCTTCCTAATAGCAGGTAGCAGAACAGAATCGTATATCCTTGACTATTTAGTGCTGGAATACAATAATCTCACCCATGGTCACGAAGACACACCTGCACAGGAGGTCAGGAGCTCTCAGCACTGAGACAAAATGATCTTGTCAGCAAACGCAGGGCAAAAGCGAGGCTGTGGCTAAGTGCCAGCCTGATGGCATTGCTAAGACAGTAAAACAACATGTGCAATCTGGTAACAGAAACACCTCAGACATGCTCTGTTGCAAGTAGGGAGATGCCTATTTATTTCTCATCACCGGCTCAGCAAGCTTCCTCTGGGCTCTGAGGCAAACAAGTTGCTTTCCTTCGCCCATAATAAGAACCAAGTTGCACCATCACTTACATCTGTGGACCTGGCACTTTCCAAAGGCTTGCACAAGCATTAGCGAAACTTGGTAAACAATTCTCTCAAGGAGCAGAGTTCAGCCCACTCATGCCATGTTCGGCTCTGCAGCGCTAAAAGGTGTGGACACTTACACTAGTGCTTGGTGATCACTAGCATCAGAAGACTTGAATAACATATGCAAGGACCTACTGAGTCAAAAGGTTCCCCTTTCACAGCTTCACAAAAGGCTGCATTTGAGCACTGTAATGCATCGTAGGTCCCTGTATTTACAAGTCACTGAAGGTACGGAGCTTCCACAGTGGTAACCACATGCTTGCGTGATGCAAACGTTATCCTCCACCTGAAACCTCCTACATATCCACCACAGGCTTGACTTCAGTTTGCCTCCATGCCTTTTTGCTCACTGGACATGCAAGATAATTTCTGACCTGCTTTTTCATCAGTCGCTCCTCTTACCTGTTTCAAGTAATTACAACCAAGCCACCCTTTTTCCTTTTTGGCACTGAGGTGTGTCTGGACAAGAGCTTCCTAAGGGCAAGACTGAAAGGTATTTCTTAGACTGTAATGCTCCTCCTGTGCATATGTCCCCTTTGCAATCTCTCTGTAAGAGGGGAAATGGGGTTCTTGGTTACCTTAACTAACTCCACCTAGAAGAGCACTTTT